GCGTGAAAATGGATCGATTTTGGAATTTCGACTGTAACTTTGCGCACCCGTGAAATTGGGAAGCACAGCGACTTTGTCTGCAATAGTCGCATGTTTCGCGAAGAAAAGTTAGGTGTTACAAAGAGGAGATATAGATGCATCGAATGATGCCTAAACTGTTCATGCGTTATTAGGTGGTTATTAGAGCACGCTCAAAAGTCTAAAATGAAAAATTTGTCTATCTTCATTTTGAACGACTTTAGAATACATCTAAAAAACGGCACGAATTTTTGGACCCACCTAAGGCATAAGGCACCCCCATGTGATTTCAGTCCCTGCGCGATCTGGCACTGCAGCGACTCTTCATAACTGGTCGTAAGCGCGTTTTGCATGGGCCAGATTTGAAGCTTTTGCTACAACTTATAGCAGCTATGCGTCTGTGCCTTTTAGACTCGCGCACGGTTATTTTGTATACATCTGACAAACCGCGAAGTCGCGTGGGCACAGTGATTTGACGAAATTGCGCGAGGTATGCCTTAGGCCTAATACATAGTAACGTTGAAGGGATGCCCTCTCGCGATTTTTCTATCCAGTGTTTGCAACGTGATTACGAAGTCACCTCCCTTATTGCTAATGAAAACACGAACAGAGCGGTCTGTCAGAAATTAGCTATTTCTTTACCAGTGTGATCGTCCGACTATGCCGGACTCTTATACTTTGTTGCAAAACCTACTAATACATTGATCTCTACAAACTTTCATTAGCAGTGGAAAAGGGTTTTTGTTAATAAAAATGCTTGGTAATTAGAACTATTTTTGTTGCGAAATGTGCTAATGATGAGCAAAAAAGTTCTATATCTGTTTTTTTTCATTACCGCAATCCAAATTCTGTACATATACTCCACTTAGCGCTTCCTACGTGGCTCCACAACGTATTCTTCTCACAGTGCCACTTATGTTGTTCTCTTCTTTAGCAACATAGCACTGTTACCTAGACTTGATGCATTAGAACGCTAGCCCCACACAAATCAAAATAGGAGGCTACCTAGAAATGAAAAGCCTTTCCCCGAAAAAAATTTGCTTTTCCCTCTGAGTTATCAACGCAATTGAGGGGACAACTATCGCTTTTCCCACAAACTACGGATGAATACATTTCAACAACTAATTCTATTCTTTTTAAAGAAAGTTCTACAAATAACTTTGACGAATATTCTTAGGAAAAGGTTGCAAAACTCGCGTTTTCTCAATGATAGCATCGGGAATGACATTCGCATAACATTTCGCTCAGTAGGCAGCACTGCTGCCTACCGCCTCTACAATGACTGAAATGTTCTTCCAATCCTTCAAAAACGGACTGACTTACAAATAGTCTCCACACATAAATGTGGGAAAAGCCTTGAAAACTTGCGCTTTTCCTCAACGCGACGGCATCTGCAAGAATAACAGTCATAAACCTTCCTCTCAGTCTGCAGCTGGAAACTGCTATCTATCGCCTTCTCGTTGCGTACTCTTTCAGAGAAGAAGACTCCAAATTTGCATACTTTTCTAAAGCACAGAATTTTATCTTCTTTGACATCGTTTTTTAATTTTCTTCAGCCTTTCCTGTACCATAATCCTTTGAATCATTTTTTGAAAAACAATTTCAACAAAATGGCCTTTTTGAGGTGTGTTGTTGTACGCCGAAGTACATGAGGGCCCGCCTTTTGAAAGATGTGCTAGGAGGGTGCCAAATAGATATCTAAAAAAGGATTTTGCTTTTGCCGCCTTTGAATTTTACGGTCTCCCACTTAGTCGTTGTAGCCGCGTGAGTCATTTAATTGAAGTGCGCTTTGCTCCATGAGGACACCGCCCTCGTTACTACTTTGTCTTTAACGATGAGAGGAAAAGATTTGAACTCAAAATCCTATATGATAAACTTTGAATGCAGAACAGATTAATGTAAAACTTTGAGTAGCTTATGAGAGCAACCTTTCGCCACCCTCACATTGGCATTAGGTGTGCATATGGTGCCAATATTTTTAAAAAAAAGTTGGGCACAATTTTTATTTGAGTAAATATTTCGCGATTTGTCATATTTTCAACTTCTTATTGCGAATATAACATCAGACTCGGAGCCAAATTGCTTTTTGTGTATTGCAAACGAGTCGTTTTGTTAAATCTTCAGCTTATATCAAGTCTTTAGTCACAAATATCTCACAATACTTTTCACTATGCCCTTCCTAATCTGCCCGTTCATACACTAAATTCAGAGTCATATCTTTACATGCGCGCTGCAAAAGGGGCAGTTAATTACTACTAAGCTAGAGAAATTTTTTGAGGGTGAAGCGCGAGCAAGACAGTTTTCTGCATGTCAGCCGTGTAGCAAAATGATAAGTATTACATAGTATGGATGTAATTAGATATCTTCTTTGTTGTATTACCAACTAGCTTACATAATTGGCTACGCCCCGGGTTACTTCTTCAGTTTCAGCAAATTTACCAATTTCAAAGCGCTCTACCTGCTATGATATCTACGCCCATAACAAAATGCTTTACTGGTTAACTACAGCAGTCTAAATTTGGAGTTCATTTGACATAATTTGTAAAGAAACCTAACTCAAATCTGTAGATAAAATCACACTGTAAAAGCCAGTGTGAATGGATTAAGGCACAGGTCATATTGCGATAGCATAACACTTTCATCTAACTTGCTACTTCGACATTTCTGTTTGGTCTTAAAATGGCGTGCTTATTTTATAACTTAACAGGTTCGCTCGCTCCCACAAACGTTCTCGTAAGCATAGTGGAATAGGAGTGACTAGCATATCACTATCCACAATCAGAACTTCCATTCTGCCTCCCTCTAATCGTTTGCTTTCTATCGGGTAGAGAACATCAGGACGCAAAGGATTTCCCAGGCGAAAATTTGCAACACACCGTGCGCCTTCAACGTCACTATTTCCACGTGGGTGGAAACTATTGGCGACCTAATGTCCTCTATCCCTTACTATCTATTCACTAATTGGACTGTGACAGAAGTGGATGTGGCCTAGATTATGTTTTCTTATATCAGCCTAGATTATGTTTTCTTATATCGTTATACAGTCCAAAGGTCCTTCCATATTTCCACGTTTTCGACAAAAAACGTAGCTTTCTCTAATCAAGTCATCAAATAAGTTTAACAGATGACAATGCTCTGGTTCTTTATAACAATGTCAGTCACAAACTCGCGACAGTATATCCAGTACCTTTGACATACATGCTGACATAGAATTGACACTTATGAGAATTGCCCATAATGTTGCTTTACGATCTTACACACCGCAGCATCGCATACTTCATTTTTGAGCATATAAAAAGATTTACTTGAGAAGCGCTTCTTGTCACTGCGCTTTGCTTGCAAAAACTCAGAATGGGATGTACCGTTCACCCTCTTTCAGACAAATGTCTAATAGACTTTTCTTTTCCCAGACGTAAGTAAACAAATCAATTATGATAAAAGGACCGAACAAAAAGTTGCAAAAAGTAGCCTATCTTTTGCGCCGCGTCTCATTTATAGGGGAACAAACAAAATCCATCCTCTTCGCTTCACATACAGTCAAGAAACAAACATCCTAAGAAACAATATACAGTTTGCCTCAGCCCCAACCAGGCCAAAAGTGGCATGGCGGGAGCCCGCGTCGCGAGGGTATTGCGTTACGTCTATGACTAGCTAGTCTGCTCTCTCCTCAATCTCTTTGCCCTCTGCGACAGCGCGCGTATGCAGCGCAAACCCTCAGCGCTGCGAGCGTCCAAATTTAGCCGACGGTTCGGCCGGATTCCGATTGGGGCAAACCGTACGATTTTCATTTTGACATTTGCCACCCTATTGCCAGGCCCTGTGTTTGTTTAGAGCAATTTTATTGTGACTGTGTCATTACAAGCTTTTTTGCCCTGCACTGATACGCTCTGTAGTTGCACTAACTCATTCAAGTTTTGCGTTTTCTTTTTTTTCCTCCACGAGCGCTCTCAAAATTGGTTCGTACAAAACGCTTTTGAGCAACCGATAACAAAGCCTCAGTCCGCCTCGTTTTAGACTGCATATTACAAAAGATGCGCATTACTTGAGCAGGTTCAAAATTTGTCGGTTTATGACCAGCAACAATAGTTTATTTGAACGAATTAAATTTTGAGAAATTACCACCGATTCCTGATTATTGCACGTTAATAGTTGCAGGAATAGGAGTGCGCATTATATGAAAAAGGAATTGCAAACCGATGCGATAAATTACCATAATTGCTAGACGCAGTCGCTGTAAATTTAAAGAAATTCTTGTTTATAGTTTGATGGCTCAAAAACGGCAAGACATTCAAGGGATACGTGGCTGGGCGATTGCTTTGGTTGTCACATTTCACTTCTTTCCTGCTTATTGCCCGAATGGATATGTTGGAGTAGATATGTAAGCAATTTCTCTTTCTTAAGGCAGCGTCCAAAAAATGGATATTTTTCCGCTTTGGGCTTGTCTTTTTCCGCTGAATACGAAAATACAACTTGGAGAGCACGAAATACCAAAAACGGAGTATTTCAAAAACCTTTGATTTGTATTTGAGCGCCTGCCGTTTGGGACCCGAAACGTTCCAGCCAAAACTTCTGAAACGGTTTTTCGCTTCAGAAGCACATTGGTGCAGTGCCACGTGCAAGAGCTTCATTAAGATTGGAGTCATTGTACTCGATTTTCATATTTGCCTGGACGCTGCCTATAAAAAATGACTACGCCCAAAAATGCATATGTTACTATATCTGTAAGCTTTTCCTTTGATCTGCAATCCAGGTTCTTCGTCGTATCTGGCTTTCTTATGGCTATGATCATAACAAGAACGGAGATGACAGCTTCGTTTTGTCAAAACTTCTATGACAGAAGGTTATCTTACATCTTAAAAGTTATTTTACACTATACAGATAAGAGGCAAAGTTTAAGAATCAAGCGAATATTACCGCTGTATTATATGACGTCCGCGGCATTATTATTGTTTGTAGCATCAAGGCTACCTTCCTTCCGGCTGATGATTTTCCCTAGTTCACGCAAAGCTATATTCCTCATTACAAACATCAGGCTGTCTGAAAAGGATCCTGTCATCGAATACGAAAAAATGGTGATGTCTTCGAATTTCCTACTCTCACATCTAGGCATGAACAGCTTCAGCTGTCAAATGCGGACGATCTCTTCACTCATACTTGGTCTTTATGTGTCGAGATGCAATGGTATTTGTTGGCTCCACTTCTCTTCTTCGTGCAAAATTTGTTACCTTTACGGAGGGTGCTTTTCTTTTTGGGTTAGTCGTGTTGCGCTGAAATATGTCTGAGTGTAATTTGGTATTTAAGGGATCACATGTATTTCTCTCGGTTTCTATCTCACTACTGACAGCAACACTGCCTTCTACAACACATTTGCTAGGATGTGGCAATTTTGTGTTGGCATTATCGCCTTTTTGAGTAGTGAAAATGTGAGCTTTTTTACAATATGCAGCTGTTATTATCAAACTTGTATTGTATCGCTCACAGCATCCTTAGCCTTTTTCTTTTTTGCCCTAACATAAGGTGGAAATTGGACAAGTTCGTACCCGATTGCGTTTACGGTCGGAACGATTATACTCTCGTATCGATTATAAATTCCTAGTCCAAATCACCGCAAAAATGTCCTGCATGGTCTCGCATCCTGTTGTGCCTAGAGGATTAGATGCCAAACATGCAGGATCGTGTTTCGCGGTCATATTCAAGATCCTAACAAGTGAGGTTCAACACCTGACTTCAAGGTCTTTGAAACTACTGTAACCATCTAAACTGGTTCTGATTCAGAGAGCAGCACAGGTTGGCAAATGGGCATCGCTAAAACAGCTTTGCCGTTATCGATTTTTACGATTTCCTACTTGATCCCGCCAGCTGCGTAGGGTTTGATTGCAGCGCGCTTCCTCTTCCCAAGGAAACGGCGTCGTAGATTTTCTGGATCTTAGTAAGGAGGAGAGGAAAAGTTTTGGAGCCAAAATGTTGCTATATACCGAGCTTTAGGTGTAGAACACAATCATGTAGGAATTTTGAGAAACTTATTTGAAACGAAAATTTTGACTACTTCAGGTGGGCATTAAATGGGATTTGCATACCTAATTTGGAAAAAAGTTCGGCACGCTCTTCATTCACAGGTTTTTGATAATTTTTAGTACTTACAAGGGAAGGATGGTGGGTCGAAGTGGCTTTTCAGAATGAAGTGGATATCATCTTGTAGGGCTTCGAACACTGATTTCAAGTCTGCCTTCCTTATCTGCGGCGCGTTCTTGGGCGAGGAGTTATGAGGGTTTTTTAGGGGGGGGGGAATTCAATACAAGTACAATTAAGTACAGCACACCAGTGTGTGCCGTCTGGTGTAGTGGTTAGTGTGGTGATCTTGCAGGCAGACATACAAATTTTTTGTAGGCCAACAAAACGAAAACACAACAGGAGATTCGAACCTGGGAGCCTCTGCCTGCAAGACCACCACACTAACCACTACACCAGACGGCACACACGGTCCTTGATTGCACTTGTATCGACTTCCGCCTCCTAAAAGCCCTTATAACTCCTCGCCCAAATACGCGCCGCAGATAAGGAAGGCAGCTTTGAAATCAGCGTTCGAAGCCCTAAAAGATGATACCCACCTCATTCTAAAAGGCCACTTCGACCTACCTTTCTTCCCTTATTAGTTCGGTAGTCTTACTGCGCGTATACACTCCAATCTCGCGCGATTTCGTCATCACTGCGTTGCAAACGAGCCATTTTCCCATTTTTTTGGTAGCTGGAAATTTCCAGAAAAAAGCTTGCCACAATCTTCAGTTACATGATATTTCAATGAAACTTCACGGTTCAAACCCAGGCCCGTGTTCATTTTCGAGTTCATTACAAGACGATCATCTTCCATTTCGGTTGTGATAGTCTTTCGCGATTATTCGGGTTGGAAACCTACCACAACCGGATTGCAGAATGATTAAGATGCAATGGATTCATAACAGTCGTCTAGTTGGCAGAATCGTTGCAAACGGGCCATTTTTCCATTTTTTGGTGGCGGGAAATCTCTGATAAAGAGCTTGCCACAATCTTCAGTCACATGATATTTCAATGAAACTTCACGGTTCACCTCAAGCCCGTGTTCATGTACGTACCCAAATTTCATACCATATCGTCAAGAATGATCAGCAGGAATAATCTAAAAATTCTGTTTCGGTTAAAGTCAATAAGTATGCACTTTCTCGGTAGTATCTCGCCCTACTGATATCCGGCTGCCTACAGCATAGATATGCAGTGTAGAATTTACCAGTGAATTCCAAAAACTTGTCTTTACCTTTCATAACTATCAAGCGTTTGTCGTATACGTATGCTATAAATCAAGATCGTTATTACGCTTTATTCAGACAGGCTTACGTTTCGGTGCCTTCACCTTCGTCGGAGCCTGGAAGTTTGCAAAAGATAAAAAGTATATGTTTTTTATCTTCGCCTCATTGGGGCTCCTTCGGTACGCCACTGGGCTGAAGACAAAAACATGTACTGCCGTCCTTTCTTCCCCCCCCCACCTCCACCCCTCCCTGAAAGGGTCGCGAAATTTTTGAAAGTTACTTATATGAATTATAAGAATGTGAAGCGACTTGTTTATACTTGTAAATAACCAAAAGAATCTAGCGGAGGAAGCATCTTAAGCAAGGTCGAGCAAGAGGTGAGGTGCGGCACACGAGGGATAAGCCTCCCCCTTTGTGTGTCTCAAAGCTCTTCAGAACTATCGTCTACTTACCGTTAGGTATAACATGAGTTCCTACTATACATGTCTAACATATTCGTAATCAACCTGTAATCCTTCTAAGCCGACTAGCGAATTTTGAGGTTTTCAAATATTGGGCCACTCAAGTGAAATACTCATACTCAAAAAAATTAACTTCGTTTTGAGGATGAGTTAGCTATCCTCGTTCCCTTGACCGCACGGAGTGCTAAAACGCTGCGGGCCACCAGCTAACGAATCAAATGTATCTCTCTTCACATTAACACAAAGCATCACTCCACTTATTCTTTGCTCATGTGAGATTTCTTGCTTCGAGTAACCGCCGGACTGCGCGATTGAAAGTTGCACAAGCGATCCTCTCATTTTTCGCTTGCAATGATTTGCTTACAGCAACAATCACTCAAATTCAAAAAGGCTTTTTTGAATAATGTTATTGCTGTGAAAACTATGGGGTTTAGGCTAAAGTTCAATGTTTATACATGTAGTTTGTAAGTTTTTTTAGGAAAGTTATGAGCATGTTCCAACGTGACCGCCTCCTCAGCCCTTGCGTGTTTCCACGTGGCAACACAGTTGAACATACACCGTTCACCTGTTCTTGCTTCTGACAAGGATAGCATTGAGGCATTTGTCCGGATTTTCTCAAAATAGGTGTTGTTTTAGGAACGCTTTTTGAGTGCCATGTTTGGAATCAGTGCCATAAAAGGCCTAAATAACATAAAAATAAGGAAATCGTGAATCTGCTTGGACTCCGCCTTCAAGACATACATCTAGGTTTGAAACTCTGAGACCATTAAATCTTCTTCTCTTCACAGTAGCAATCTCATCCGCAATTGTTGTTTTTATGGCAAATATTGTGCTACGATACAACAGTGTTAAATCTGCTCTTCTATGTATATTGCAAGGAAGAGTGGCAAAAGTATGTATTATTTGATAGTTCAGGCCTTCTAGTTTTCTGTAGTTTGTCTGTAGTCTAACTCGCCTTCTTTAAAGTGAGTAATAGTTGGTCCAGACAGAACCATTGAGGACGAAAATGAGACAAACAAGTGCTGGCAGGTCCCTGGTGTTATAGTTTAGTTGTTATTTGAAAGGTGATTTCTCGTGTGGGCAAAGAAGAAGTAGTGCTTTGTACACAACGCGAAAACGGGTAGCTAACTCACAAAACAGAGCTAATCGTGTACACATATGGCATTTTACTCGGATGGAAACTTAGAATCCTCAAAAATCTGTCGAGACTTGATCCGGAGGGGTTATTCGACATGTTCCTGCATCACCTATATTCTGTTGATCATCGCTTGATACGAGCGGGATCCAGTGAAGTCTCTATTCGTCCCTGTTGCGAGCAAAGTTGAACAATTTTTTCTCATTGCACCAGGTACAAGAAAAGCCTTTGAAGACTTCCTTTAAAGGACTTCGTGGACATGTCCGACCATCGAGTCGGCGGTCCTCATGTTCCGCGTTTGACGTCCATCGGTGTCCAGTCCGTTACAGCTCTGATCCACCAATTGTAGTTGAAACGCATCAATGTCTGGCTCATTTGATTTTATTCAGTTTGACGTATGCAGCAGCGTCCCTGATCTTCGAACAATAACCTAGGGTGAAGCTTCGTAGTCCTGCACTCATTTGCGTCAGTCGGGACACTCTTAACATCATTCTCTTAACAGCGCGTTCGCTGACGCTCACCGCATGTTCGTCCTGCTTCCTCATGGTTCAAGTTTCCGAAGCATACGTCAAAGCAGACAGAACCGTCGTGTTGAAGAGATGGGCGCGAGCCGGGTGTTCTTGCTCTTCTTCAATACGTCCTCAATTGCTTTATCTACTCTTCATGCTGCTCGTTTTCTCCTACCCAGTTCCGTGGCTAGGTCGTTCATCAGGTTGACTTCCCGACCTAGGTAGACGTAGCTAGAGCTTTCGGCGATCGTTACTCCATTTATCGTGAAAGAAGCATGAAAAAAATTCTTTTTCATGAACATCGTCTTCGTCAGATTTGGCTTTGAACCGATCTTCACACACGTCGTCAAACTGAATCAGCATTCCGCTTGCGTAATGTCTGGTGTAATCAGGACTAAATCATCAGCAAAGCGAAGGTGGTGTAGTTGCCGGCCTTCGACTGTCACATCCATGTCGTCTCACTCTAGTGTCCGCATGACGTTTTCGAGAGCTACCTTGACTGCCCAAGTCGATGACAGTCTCAGTCTCAACCGAATCAAAAACCTTCTTCAAGTCGATGAAGGTGAGACAAAGCGGCATCCTGTACTCGATAATGAGCCTTGCTATTGTGTGTATGTGGTCCATAGTGCTAAATCCTTTCCGGAACCCAGCTTCCTTGCATGGTTGTCTTTCGTCTAATTCTCTTCCGTTTGTTGAGAAGTACTCGTGTGAAGGGTTTGTAAATTGTAGACAATAAGCAAATAAGTCGATAATTTTCGACATTATGGGGTCTCCTTTCTTAAAAGCAACACGGTCTTGCTCGTCTTCTATTGACTTGGAGTCGTTTCCTCCGTCAGCTACGCGTGAAGAGTCTTGCCAGAGTTCTGATAAGTACTGGTGAAAAATTCTTTAGGAGTTCCGGTTTGATCCTGTTGGACCCGGCTGCCGTACGGCTTTTCACTAATAGGATAGCATGTCGAACCTCTGAAGGAGAAACTGATGGCGAAACGTATCCGTCTTTCTTGAGACGGCATGGTGGTAGGTAGACGTGCTCGCAAAGCCCAAAGAATTCGCGGACGGGTTTCCCCATCGATCTTCGAGAAGAGGTTGTGATTCCATCAGAACGGTGAAGTGCGGTCATTTTGGTCTTGAAATTGACGATGCTTGGCAGGCGTTGCGTATACTTCTTTCGGCTTCCACGACGTAAACCACTACTTGTCCTTTTTTGTCTTTGAGATCTTCTTTTATCGCTTCTCTGCATTTCTTCTCAAGCTCAAACGTAAGTTTGTAATTGCCTATGGCTCGTGCTCGTCTACGTTGGCGTTAGCTCTAGATCTTCGTTGAGAAGATGCTTTCTCGTACTTTTTGGGCTCTCAACTTTCTTAGC